AACACACAGAAAACACCTTAATATTTCACGAGGCTTTCATAAAAACTTGAGAAATGAAAGCCCTCAGACTGCAGGGCCCTCCATCCACCCCAGGAGCTGGGTGGCTTCTGCAACACCCCCCAGTGAGTTACTAGAACTAAAAACCAGTCAAGCCCAGTTCACCCACTAACCCCCAGTTCCCTGTGCTGCTGCTACTCAAAGCTGGCTCGTGTTTACCCCCAACCTCACCCAGAGCTTGGAGATTCACAGACCAAACAACCTCAACTGCTTCGACTTCCCCCTTTTTAAAGCCCAACTTCTGAACAAAGAACTGATTAAAGCAGCTCCTGTGTAAGAGTTCAGCCCCTAACCCACATTTAACTCCTGGCTGGGTTCATTCAGCCCCATCCCTGACCCACAAAACAGGAGCCAGGGAAGGGTTATTTTACACCAGCATTTGAGGGGAATTAATCTCCTCTGGGGGGGAATTAATCTCCTCTTGTGCAGCACTGGGATGCTTCGAGTACAAATGAGGCAAATACGAAAAAAGGCAGAACAAATAACCCTCCTCTAAGTGCTCTGCTCTCACACAACATGGATCTGGGAATTTCTGGAATACAACCCAGGTTTCCTCATGGAGAGACAGTGTTTTCTCCCTTCCTTATCACCCCTGCAGATCTCAGCTGGTCACACCAACAGCTCCCCCTCCATGGGAGTTTTCCTGGTTGTCCTGACATCACCATCCTGAGACTGAACTCACTTGACAGCCAAGGAAAAGTTCACCTCCCGCTGGAATCACCGCTGGAATGGCCACATTTGTTGTTCAACCTCACGTTTCCAGGGCACTTTTCCACCTGGGTGCCACAGATCTGCACTGAGGAGCAGCTGAGAGAGCAGGGGGGGCTCAGCCCGGAGGAAAGGAGGCTCGGGGGGGACCTTCTCACTCCCTCCTCCCTCCTCCAGCAATGAAGGGTTTATTTCTGTAACTTTAAAGCCGCCCCCTGGACAGTTCACTGGGTGTTGTAACATTATTCAACAACAAAAAAACCACTCCTCCCCAAATCAGCTGGCAGCAGATCTCATTCTGAACTGCTCACACCCTCCTGCTGGGGCAGGAGCACCACGAGAAACATGGAATGGCACTTTCAGGGTTCAGGTACCAACATTTCTGCATTTTGAAACGTTTCTGTTCAGAAAGAAGCAATGTCACAGCTTTGCCACAGCCCAGGCCCTGCTGGCTGCCCCTTCTCCTTAAAATATCCTGTCTGCTGGAATGCTCCATCAGGCAGGAATAACAGCTACAGGACAAGGCCGAGGGGAGGGGAGGCAGAAGTTGCTCTAACTTTGGAACAGCATTTAAAGACAGAATCCCAGGATCCTTGAGGCTGGAAAAGCCCTCCAAGACCATCGAGTCCAGCCTGTGCCCAATCCCCACCTTGTCCCCCAGCCCAGAGCACGGAGTGCCACCTCCAGTCACTCCTTGGACACCTCCAGGGGTGGGGACTCCAAACCTCCCTGGGCAGCCCCTTCCAATGCCTGACAGCCCTTCCCATGAGGAAATTCCTCCTGGAAAGAAGACAGTTTTGCCTAAGCCAGAGGAGCACGTGAAGTGTTAAAAGCCAGCCTGGAGCTCATGCCAGGGAGGGTTTGTAACATGCTCCTGCAGCAGGAAGCCACTTTTTCCCTGCTCCCGTTCCCCAACTCGGCCCCTGGCTGCTCTGCACACAGGTGGGATAACGGGGGCACAGGGGGGACAGTCTGAGAGGTCAGTTATTCCTGAACCCCACCAGATCCCAGCCAGTGGCCAGCGATGACCAGCTGCCCAACCCACGGCCGCCAACACCAGCCCTCACACGCGTTTCCTCCCCGTGGGCCCTCAAACGATTCCCCCCGTGGGTCCTCAAACGATTCCTCCCTGTGCTTGCTCCCCACTCCCTCGTTTCTCTGGTTTACAGCTTCTCCCTCACCCAGCCCCTGCTCTGAGCCCAACAATCAATTATTGATCCCGGCGTATTTGCCCATGTCAGTGGAGTCGCAGCCGCTCCGGGGGAAGGGATTGATCGGGAATGGGAACCACGTCATGGCAGGAGCCCAACGGAGCCTCAGGGACCCCCACGGAGCCTCAGGGACCCCCACGGCCTCAGGGACCCCCAGCCACTGGAAACCAGCACCTCCCAGTCGAGGTGGAAACCCGGCTGGGGCCGTTTTGGTGAAAGCCACACTCAGGCAGAGCCAGCCCCGAGCACAGACACGGCAGCAGACGGGGGGAGGTGACGCCGTGATTTGGGTTTTGAAGCTGCTTCATTCCCACCCCGACTTTGTTTCTGCCTTATTTAACGGGGGGAAGGCCCGGCCCTGCTCCATTTCCTGCGGCACACGAGCGCTCGCCCTCCTGCCTGTCAGAAACCTCCTTCCCCCCCAGCATCCACAGGATCACACTTGTTCCCCCGAGCACTACAGCATCTACACCACCATCCTCATCCAAGCCACATGTACCAGCTTATATAACTGGGTAAATCGCCTGTGATGGGCCCGGGTCCTTCCCCCGGGGTGAACGACGCCGTGGAAGCACCAAAATGCGTAAAAATGATCCAGTGGCCCTTGGGTCACGCTGTCAATTTTAGAGAAAACCCACCGAGGCGAAGAACAGGGACTTTCTAGACAGGCAGAGGGTGGAAAAGCCGAGCAGCCGAGCTCGGGGAGGCCTTAGGATGGAGCCGTCCGGAAAACAGCCGGACAGAGGAGCGTGGCCGGGGGCTCGTTACTCCAAAAGGCACCGGCTCCCCTCGCCGGGGGATACCCAGAGATGCCCAACAGCTTCCCCAGCTTTACATAACGGCACCTGCCCCCCCAGGAACGGCGACATCGGGGGGTGGCGATGGCCCGAGGGGACGGTGATGGGGGTCCCGGCTGTGGGCGGGGAGCGGCCCCGGGAGGAACCGGGAGGAGCCGGGAAGCGCCGGGAAGCGCCGGGAGGAGCCGGGAAGGGCCGGGAGGAGCCGGGAAGGGCCGAGAGGAGCCGGGAAGGGCCGAGAGGAGCCGGGAGGAGCTGTCCGTTTCAGCACCGGCCCCGCCGGAGCCGCGGAAGGTCCCCCCGGCCCCTCCAGCCTCGCCCAGCCCTTCCGTCCGGGGCATCGCTGGAGGAACCGGCCCCCAGCGCTTCCATCACCCACACAGGGAAAGGGAACCATTCCCGGGGCCCCGTCCCTCCAGGGCTGCCAGGGAAAACCACCACCGCTACGCCTTCCCCCCCTTTTCACCCCCAGAAACACCGGCAGGACGAGACGGGGACCCCCCGCCCGCCCGTTCCTCGCGACCGGAGCTGCCCGGTGTGAAGCGAGGACGTCCCGGTCACGGCTCCCGGTGCGGCTGGAATGCTGCAGTGTTCCCGGAGAGGGTGGACGCGGATACACAAGAGCACAAACCACAACCAGCGCCCCAAAAACCCGCCCCACCCGTGCGGCCCCTCGGGGGTGGGGGGGGGGCTCCCGTAGACCCCACGGGGGAAAGGGGGGGGAACACAAGGATGAGCCTCCCACGCCTGGGATCACCCTCCGAAATTCAGCTCAGGGCCCGAGGGGCGGAATCCAGCTGCTGGCCCTCGCACACACACTCCCCCCTTTCCCAGAGTTTCCGACTTCACCCCGGCTCATCCGCAGCCGCTGCCGTGGAGCATCTCCCGGCGTCCCCACCCCCACATCAGCCGGGCATCGCTTGCACCAGAACGCAGGGGGAGGGGAGGGCAGGAAGACACCCAGATTTTTAACAGGAAAAAAAAGAAAAAACCCACCCAGACCTGTGAACGTGCAATTCCCTCCCGGCAGGGAAAAAAAGAAAAAATAATACGAACCAAACCTGCCCTCGCCGACCCTCCACCCCCGCCCCAAAATCTGTGCGGTGGAAGGAAGGAGGGAGGGAGAGAGGGAAGAGCACAACCACGATGCTGACCCAACATCTGGGTCAGCTGGAACATCAAGGCCGCCCCGAGCATCGCCCCCCACCCCAAAAAAAACCCCTGTCCTCCAAGTTGTCCCCCATCCCCGGGCAGCGGGAGATGGGGGTGGGGGGAGCGGGGGGCGGCGGGGGGACGGGGCAGCGCTGCAGCGAGGGCCGGGGGGAAGGGACAGCGGCGAGAACTCGGGGCTCTCCCTCCTCACAATGCAGACAAAGAGCACGGCCCCCAATTTGGGGCCTGGGAGGAGGGTCCCGGGCAGCGGGGTGGAGGGGGGATGCAGGGAGGGATGCAGGGCTGGTGGAAGGATGGGTGGAGGGAGGGAGGGATGCGGGGAGCGATGGAGGGATGGGTGGAGGGGGCCCAAACGGGGCTGCAGGCCCAGGGTGGGCACAGGGGGCTCCTGCCCCTTCCCAGCCCCAGCCCCCCGGCGGGGGGACACTCACCCCGGGCCTGGCACCGTCCCCCCCCTCCGCGGGGCCCTCGGGCTGCAGCGGACGGACCTTCCCCGGCCCGGGCAGGGGCTGCCGGAGCCCCCCGAACAGGGCTCGGGGGGCAGCGCCGGGCGGGCAGAGAACCGGCTCCCCCCGACCCCCTCCCCGGGCGCGGCCTGACCGGGCATCCCCCGAGGGGGCGGGTGGGGAAGGGGGGGAAAAGCCCCGGGACCCCCCCCCTCTTCCCGCGGCGGGTTTGGGGCCGGGGGGGCTCCCCGGGCTCCCCCCCGAGCTCCCCCCACCACAACCCGCCCCCCGGTGCTCCCGCGGGGTGTCCCCGGCGCCGCCCGGGCCGCGCTCTGCGGCAGAGCCCCCGGGGGAGGCGGCGAACCGAAGGGCACGGTAAGCGCGGGGAGCCGCGGGCGAGGCCCGCGGGGGTCCCGGGGGCCGCGACTCACCGTGTCGGGCGGGCTCAGCGCGGCCCCGGCGCGGCGGGGCCGGACTGCGGCGCGGGGGGAGCTGCGGGAGGGACTGCGGGTGTCGCCATCTTGGTGCGCTCCCGGCGCTCCCCCCCCCCGCCCGGCCCGGCCCCCCCCGCGCCGCGCGGCCCCCGCCCGCCCCCCGCGCGCCGACAGGGGGCGCTGCGGAGCCGCCGAGAGCACGCGCGGAGGGGGGGGGCGGAGGTGGAGGGAGGGGGGGGAGCGGGGAAACCCCGACCCGGGGCGGGCACCGGGCACCGGCACCGGGCCTTCATCGGAGTCTGCATCATCTTCATCGGCACCGGGCCTTCATCAGCGTCTGCATCATCTTCATCGGCACCGGGCCTTCATC